TTGTCCCAGGGGTGGGGATCGTCGTCAGGAGGCGGCGCATTCCGTACGAAGCTGTGCAGGACATTGAACTGGTCAAGGGCACTAAAGGTAACCCCAGGGGTGGGGTTATACTCCCCAGGGGTGGGGAATGTTTCTTAGGGGTGGGGTTCATTCTCCCTAGGGATAGAGTGCCTGTGTCAAGGGTGGGGAGTGTGTAACATCAGGCCTCGAAATTAAATTTTCTTCCTATTGTCCTAGCACTGTTCCAAAAATACATTTCAATTGTCCTGAAGTGAGGATGAACTGCCCCAACCTGTTTTTGGGTTTTACTAAGTATTGTATGACTTCAACTTGAAGTCAACTTTAGTTTGCTTATGTTCACTCCTAGGCACACTATAATTGCAGAGTAGCGTTTGTGTTCAACCTTTTTTCCTGTTTCCCCAGGCCTGGGGTTCAGCATTGCCGGGGGTGTGGGGAACCAGCACATCCCTGGCGACAACGGGATTTTCGTCACCAAGATTATCGATGGCGGGGCAGCGCAGCAGGACAGCAGGCTTCTGGTATGTACACAAAAACAAAACTGTTTACAGTTACTGTAATTCACTTGTATGTGCACGGTAGCAAAAATTCACGGTCTGAAAAAGTGGACATGTTCACGGAACTATATATTCAAGGTGGTGACAGGTGCAGGAAAAAGTTCACGGTACAGAAGTGACAGTGAAAACAGTGAACATAAAAGTACTGTTAAATAATCAGGAATTACAGTACTCAAGCACCTCGGTATGATTTTGGAAATGGTCAGACGTTTCACATCCGTGAATAGTTTCTTCAGGTTGGTAAGACACTGAGTAAAGAGACTCTTGTGCAATGTTTGTTTGTTTGTTTGTTAGGTCGGTGACCGGCTGATTGCGGTAAACGGCATCACCATGGAGACGTGTTTATGTTTGTTTGTTTGTTTGTTTGTTAGGTCGGTGACCGGCTGATCGCGGTAAACGGCATCACCATGGAGAACGTGACACATGAAGAGGCCGTCTCAACCCTGAAGTCCACCGCCGACACCGTCATGCTCACCATCGCTAGGGTGAGTCTCTCAGAAATCAAATCTACGATCTTGGATGCAACAGAGACTATGGCCAGAACCATGCCTGATCATAACCCTAACCCATTCAGGCGTAGAACTAGTGCAGGCACGGTTCTGGGTACAATTAGCCAGTCAGCCCCTGACATGTAGAGATTGTGTAATACAAAGTACATAGCAGTGGAACCTTTTTTCCTCCCATGGTTCATGAACAACCTTTGCACTTAATTCATCAACATTATAAGAAATAATAGCAAATTATAACAAATAACTTTTTGTTGTTTCCTTAGTGTCCCGGGTTCATGAAGGACCTTTGTTTTTTTTCGTTAACGTATTGTCTTACTGATAACCTGTATAAATTTGATGGAAAATATGAAATAACAAGAAAGAAATGTTGTTGTTTTCCCCCAGGGTCCCGGGTTCATGAACGACTTTGCGGTTACGGAGGAGTCAGTGATGAGCATGCCCGTGGCCATGTCAGCCCCGCCTGCAGCGCCCCCTGTAGGGAACGACGTGTACAGCACCGTCGACAAGGGCAAGGTCGACATCCTGGACTCGTACGCAGGAAAACCGCCGGAACCCCTCATGGTGTCCGAGGACGAAACCATCACGAGGTGAGTAAACAAACAAACAAATATGGCTGCTTGTTTAGAGGTTAAACTTTACATCCAACACATTCAAGCTGGTGTGTTACGCCAAAGGGTGATTATACCAGCTATACAGATATAGAACACAAAAAGTTCTCTCACCTAGAGCTTTCGACCAACAAAGAAATAAACAAACAAACACGTTGGTGAAGGTTAATTAGACATCCAGGTAATAAGATATGCCAGAAAACAGTTACTCAAGCAACTGAATATGATTTTGGTCAGACATTTCAGGTACCACTAGCTTTCGTCAGTGACACTGGACATGTCAGAAATGCAGGTTTACAAGTGCGAACCATTGATTGATATGCAAATAAGTGAAGACAAAACAATCAAACATGTCTGCTGTGGTTGGCAAATGGTAGGAATGTCGGCAGAACGTACTGCACCTGGGTAAAATCCGGAAAGCAACACGCAGAACACTTCTGCAGAAATCATGGTGTAAGACAGTGATGCATGTGTGGGTGCAGTACTGTAGTCAGACAACAGGGGGCACACCTGTACTTATGTCCTTATTAACAACCTTATGCGTATATGTGTATGAAATCATTGTATGACAGACTCTCTTCTTTATTGAAACATCCTTGGTTGAAAAGATCTGTGGGCCAAATGTGCACACAAATCTTATTTCTGTTCACTCATTCTTGTATTTACTTCCATCTACTATGATTTTACTTCTCATAAGTTAAGATACTTTAATTCACTTCGTGGTAGCAAAATTCATGAGGAAAATATGCGATACATGATATCGTAACGATGACAATATCCGATATATGTTCACGGAACTGAATCTCCACAGTGGTGGGAAGGGGGTGAAAGATGAATGGTTTGATGATGATGATAGGATCACAGAAGTACAAAAGTGACCATAAAAACATTGAACATAAAAGTACCGTTTCATTTCATGTATTTATTTACCCAGGGTATAACATATTGCTGCAAGGGTGTTTTTTTTTTTAATTAACCAACAAGGAAACAAAGATGCAAATTTTAAGAATCAGGACTTACACTTTAAATTACAGTCGTGTCTTGTCTTGTCACTATAAGTTACAGTAGGTTTGCGTAAAGCCTAGTAGACAGAACTACGTTTTTCTCTGTTTCCTTTCTGGACTGTTTAGAAAATAAACCCACCTCAGCTGGGGTGAGATTCTGCAGATAAAGTCTGACTGTTTGTTTGAAGTGGCCACAGAATCTCTTTACTCTGTCATTTCTCACAAATTCCCCACATTCCAGGCGGGAAAGTTGTTTGTGTTGTCCCAGAGTGCTTTACTTTACTCCAGGACAGGCAAAGTCAGTTCTGGGTTTGTGGGTTTACATCGCAACTACAGGCTGGATTGTGTCTGTTGTGTCCAATATTTTATTATATAGTAAAATGTTAAACTTTATTCCAACACACAATTGTACAGGGATCAAATTTCATCAGGATAATTAATGACCAATCACTTCACAACGTGATCTCGCCAGAGTTTTGATTATTGCTCCCGTCACATATCAGTAAAGTCTCATGTGAATAAGGTCACGTGTTTGTAACCGTAACTCTCGCGAGATCACGTTTTGAAGTGATTGGTCATTAATTATCCTGATGAAGGCGACAGTGGTCGCTAAAAATTTGATCCCTGTACAATTGTGTGTTCGAATAAAGTTCAAAGTTTTACTATGATTACTACCAACACAGATGAATTTTCATGATAATTTTGTTATATAGTGAGATGCTTCCGTTAGAAGATTAAACCTATAATTGAAAGATTGCAGTTGAAGTGATGGGCTAGTGTCAGTGTGGCCTGTCCATGTGAGTGTGTTTGTGTGTTTGTTTGCTTGTGTGCGTGGGGTAGGTTTGCTACATTCCTGTAGGTTGTACAGCTGTGAAGGGCAGTGCTAGTTAACATGGCTGACATACCAGGGCTTACAAGGTCCAAACAGTGGAGAGTCACTTGCAAATCGCAACTTGCATGTGGTATCCTACATATTGCTGTAAGAAAGAAGATGACTGGAGTTCATCCTATATGCCTAAAGACATCGCGGGACACCTGGGCCCAATGTCTTACTCTCTAGAGTTAGTTCTTTGAACCTTTGTCTTCTCTTCTCTTCTCTTGCCTTGTCTTGTCTTGTTTCCTGGACTGGGCTAGACTGGGACTCGTTGCCACCAAGCACAGTTGGGGCATCATCACTATAAAGCTTTAAACAACTCCAGTAATCAAATGCGCAAAGATTGAGTGTAACAAGTCGTTCAGTGTGATATAGCTAGCTGCCGCCGCGCCGCGTGCCTGCGAAGCTGGTGTACATGTGTCACGCCGAAGGGCGGTTATACCTGCTATACTGATACAGATACAGGTACTGTCTTATCTTGCTCATCTAATATCTTATCACAATGAAAGGAACCCTGCTTCCCTGTCACTGAGAGACTATCCTGTTTGTTCTGACTGTTTTATCTGTTAAAAGTGCTTTTACTGTGCTGTTCTTTGGTTGTTAAAAGGTCCTTAACTGTGTTATTCTTGCACAGTGTCCTGTTGGTGCTACAGGCTATGTTATGATTCAGGTTTCCCCGTGGACACATATTTCTGTCATGTTTGTGTGCACTACAGTTTGTTATGGCTTTTCCCACACTTCTCTTATAGTCAAAACAACTCAAACCAAATCATAACATGAGTCAGTTGAAGTCTTTTATAGTCTCTCAAAAAGTCTGATGAAAAAGGATTACTGGAAGGACCCTGGGCTGATTTTAGGGTACCACCCAGAAAATAAACTACTCTTTTTGGGGCTTGTTTCTGCAGTTTTAAAAGCCCAAAGTATGAAATACTGATTCAGATTTGCTGAAGTGGGACTGTATTTGTCAATATCATACAGATTGCCTTATTCAAAATATTTCCAGTTTTGCTGTCCTGAAATTGCATTGGATGCCTTTAACCTTTAGGAAAATCAGTTTTTCTCTTGACTAGTTTTGTCAGGCTAGTTATTCCTTTCGAAGAATAGTTGCTTTTCTGCAATGTCAATTTCCTATAATTCCTATATTTTTGGGGAGGAAATAAATTTCAATGGGGAAGTATACGCTTTATACACATCCCCACAACTTGTAAGCAATGCACAGTCCCTACAGGTCCCCACAACTTGTGAACAATGCACAGTCCCTACACCTCCCCACAACTGGTTAACAATGCACAGTCCCTGTACTGATCTAAGCCTTGTTTTTCATTCAGGGCTCATCCATTTTTATTGATTAACTTAAGGACTGCAAAGTATGGGTTTGTGGAACAAAATCTATGCCGTATGTATACCTTATGGAGACGTTTTGTATCATTATAAGAGATTTTTGTACAGAATATTGATTTTTTATATAGAATAGAGATTGTGTATATACATGTATACACTCTGAATTTAAATTTTGCACAGAATAGAGGTTTTTGTAGAGAATAGAGATTTTTGTACAGAATACAGATCTTGTACAGAACAGAGATTTTTATGCAGTTCAGAGACTGTCTTGCAGCCTTGAGCCCCACTGCCTGAACAGTCCCCACTTGCTGTAATAGGCAGTTGTGTAAATGTCCTGTCCTGTAATGGCCCACATTACCAGGAAGCCTCCCCTCACTCCCACCAATCTGCCTGAGTGGCAGCCATTCAGCTCCAGGAAAACTGCTGTTATTACTGGTAATGTCAAACACTTGTGTACTGCTGCTAATGGCTCAGTGTTACACTTACTACATGTCCCTACTGCATGCTGCAGCCCAGAGCCAAGGGGGATACAGGTTCAAGTTTTATTCACATGTAAAATCTCTGTTCTGTACAAGAACCCCTATTCTGTACAAAAAACCCAGAACTTCTATTGTGACTGTGCATCACACAAACCACTCAGTCTGTAAGCCTGTAATTCTGCAGGCAACAACAGCAGGGTTATTTCTGTCTCTCAAATGGCTCTGAAATGTTCCCAGCAAATGAGAAACACTTGTACTACACAAAAATGAGAAACATTAATTTTGTACTTTACTGTATTACACAAGCCCTTCATTCCGCAAGCCGCTCGTTTAGCTTACTACACAGGATCCCCCCATGCAGTGCCTTCTATAACAGGATCCCCCCATGCAGTCCCTCCTACAACAGGATCCCCCCATGCAGTCCCTCCTAGTCCTACAACAGGATCCCCCATGCAGTCCCTCCTACAACAATTGTCTTCTTAGTGTAGAGAAATGTTCCCAGTAAGGCCATGTTGATTTGATTATATGGATGACATCCTCTGGGAACCCCAAAACTGATGCGCGCGTGCGAATAAAAAAAGAAGTTTTGCAAAAAAAAAAAGTTGCTTTCACTATGAAATCTACGTGGTCAAGAAGGTGGAACAAATGGCACAGAATATGTTATGGCGAATAATCTACTCTTCGAATTCATTTCTTTACATTTTTGTCTTTTTTCCTTTGATTTTGACATTCTACGACATTGGTTTCGTTTCTAAATGTTTTCCTTGCAACTAATGGTATATTTTGCCCATTTAGCAACTGTTTTGCACGATTTACAGTATGGTTGAAAACTTTTTTTTTTTTGGAAACGGCCGAAAATTCATGCGCGCGCGGATGTCATCCATATAATCAAATCAACATGGCCTAAATGGGAAACACTTGTAGTACACGTGGTACTTTACTGCATTACACAAACCCATCATTAGCAGCCCTGCCCAGATCCATGCATTACACATGTTATCCTGCAGGCTTCAGGCTGTATAATGTGGTGTATTGTGCAGAGTTAGGAGTAATGTCAGTAATGACAGGACTGGGTCACCTTGGCTGGCCTTGGGGCTGACGAACTAGCCTATTCAGACTGTACTGAGGTCCTGGGAAGTTTGGTACCCAGGCTAGAGATGAGCTAGCTAGGAGCTAGCCTGTACAGTCTGTACTGAGGCCCTGAGAAGTCTGGTACCCAGGCTAGGTTCAGTATGTATTGTGCAGAGTAATGACAGGACTGGGTCACCTTGGCTGGCCTTG